ATAGTACTTCGCTTCGCGTTGAAGAACTTTGAAAGGTCCTTCGTATGCTGATTCGAAAGGTCGTCGATGCGAGTCTCGACGTACGAAGACGTGTGTACTATATCATAAGTCATGTTGAACGAAAACATCAGTTGATTGCGGTCGAGTGGAAACAGGTTTAATTGGACGCATTGCGTTTGTAACTCTGTTTGTGTAGGAGGTTAGATCCGTGTTCATTGAAGAGGATGAAGGATCCACGAATTCTCCTGGAAGTCGAAGTGTCATTCCATAAACGAGTTGAGCCGCAGTGTATCCAATGTCAGCTTTCACTGCATTGCAAATACCTAGTAAGACGAGTGGAAGAGCGTCGGTCCACTGAGAAATGTTTGCTGCTGATAGCGAAGCTTTTAGTTGTCAGTGAAAGCGTTCTACCAACTCGTTTGATTGTGGGTGGTAGGCGGTCGTTCGGAAGCGAGTGATTCCTAATCGTGCAGTTAGACAACGGAAAAGTTCGGATTCAAACTGACGTCCGCGGTCTGTAGTGATGGTTTAAGGGGCAGCCGAAGCTTGCTACTCATCGTTCGATGAAGGCACGGGACACTGTTTCCGCAGTGATGTCCTTGGTGGGTACTGCTTCTGGCCATCGAGTGAAACGGTCTACGCAGGTTAAGAGGTAAGCGTATCCATTTGAATCTGGTAAAGGTCCTACCAAACCCAGATGAACATGGTCGAAACGAGCATTGGGAGTTTTAAACGAGCCTAAGGGACATTTATTATGTCTGATAACCTTAGATTTTTGGCAGCTTACACAGGAGCGTGCCCACTCCCTCACGTCTTTATTCATTCCAGGTCAGCAAGACCGTTCTGCTATAAGCTTGATGATTGCATGAACACCTGGATGAGAAAGTTTGTGCAACGTATTGAAGACGTTGCGTCGATAACGTTTTGGCACGATTGGGCGATCACCACCTGTAGATGTGTCACAAGGTAAGGTTTCCTTACCTGTTCCCATCTGTTTGATGTGTAGCTTGAGGGTTGTAGACGATAACTCGTGCCGAAGATCAGTGTCTTCTTTTTGAAGCAGAGAGAGTTTCAGAAGGCCGATTCCTTGGAAACTGTTCAAGGAAGTTATTCGAGAAAAGGCATCTGCGACTACATTACTTGCTCCAGGAATGTGCTGGATGTTTGAAGTAAACTGCGAAATGTAGTTCAGTTGTCGAGACTCACGAGGTGAGTACTTGTCTGGAGAGGAGCTTAAAGAGAAAGCAAGAGGTTTATGGTCAGTGAAAAGGGTAAGTTAATGGCCTTCGATATAATGTTGAAAATGTCGTACAGCACAATACATAGCTAGTTCTCTACTGAATGTGCTGTACCTCGATTCAGTGTCTAGCAACCGTCTAGAGAAAGATGCCAAAGGTTGCCATGAGTTGTTAACCCATTGTTGTAAGACTCTTCGGATTGCTGAGTCGGATGCGTTTGCAACGGAGTACAACTAGAAATGGATCAAAGAAGCACTAACTACGACGTTTCAGGAGGTGATGGGTTACAACAAGCATAATCATAAGAAATGGATCTCTATGGTAACCATGAACAAGGTTCAAGAAAGTAAGAACAAGAAGATACCAATTAATAACAGCTGAACAAGTGCACAGAAAGTCAAGGCACAAGCTGAATACACAGAAGTAAACAAGCAAGTAGAGAACAACATTAGAGTAATCAAGCAGAGATACGTGGAACAGCTAGCAACGATAGTGGAAAATGCTTCAAGAGAAGGAAATATGAGACAGTTATATGACATAACGAAGAAACTAGCAGGGAAACATAGCAAACCAGATAGACTAGTCAAGGATAAAGGTGAGATAATCACTGAGATTTAAGAACAGAGTAACAGATAGGTAGAACACTTTGAAGAACTCTTGAATAGGTCAGATCCATTGAATGTACCGTACATCGAAGTAGCACACAAATACTGCCCTATAGATGTCATTCCACAAACGTTCTAAAGAATCAATGGCTGGTTAAATAATCACTTTGTTTCTTAGGTTCCCACCAAGTCGATCTGGTCTGATGTGTCTCAAGACCATCCGTCTTTCATGTGATCTGCCAATTGAGGGACATTATTATTCCATCATATTAGTGTGACTGATAATTTTTATTCATTTTGATAAGACATACAATACTGTTCGGTATGTTCGTGTGTTCCACTTAATGACCATAAATCCTTTAATTATTGTACTAATTAAGTTGTTGTTTCCAAATTTAGAAACATATAAAGTTTGAAGCCACATAGACTATGAGGTCGCCAATATTGTGTTTACCATTCTATTAGAGTATTTGTAGGATAAATTATATCCTACATCAGGATGGCCATCAGAATGTGGTAAAGCAGAACTACTTGACAATATACCAGCCGAAACACTAAAGTCAAACATAAAAGCCACTGCTGTTGAGGATAATGTCCTCAATATCTGACTCCAAATAATAGTATCCCGTAACTGAGTATTTTAGGTAGGCTTAATCTCCTAGTAGAATTGCGAATTTACTCGAGATTATTAAAAGGCCTGAACACCAGTTATAGAGATAGTTTATTGTTAATGAATAATAATAATCCACAAGCGTACGGTGAGCAAGCACACGATGAAACAGAGAGAGAGTGAGTGAGTCTGTTAAAAATCCATATATATTCGAGAGTTAATCGGGTGTGGATAGATTATCGATTATCTACACATTGAAACCAATAGGAAGATAGCTTAAGAGTTAATGTACAGACATGCATTCGATCATACACACCGAAATTAACATAGTGAATTGAGTCTGAGTTACAATGACTAGATAAATGATACAGTAGTCAAATGGGCTTGCCACACTGCAATCATGCTCCATGTTCTATTCAGAAAGATTTGTGGGAAGAACGTGTACAGACAAACTGGAAAGAAGAACGATGTTTCATCAGGATGTTAAAGAAATGAAATCTGAGTTCGTGTGAGAACTGAAGAAGCATCACACTACTATCGGCAATACAAAAACTTTTCTAAAGAGTGTCGCTAAACCGAACGAAAGATTCAGTAGACACCCATCTCAATAAGCCGGATTCCGTAAGGTTAAATTTTGCTCAGACCAAATCGTGACACTACGGATCTTTGTTGAACAATTAACTGAAAGAAGCTCATCTTCATAAATTAACTTTCCTGATTAGGAGTTGATAGCGTGGATATGAACAATATATTTCACACGGAGTCCTAATCATAACCTAGATAACATCATTACTAAAGATATTATTCTGTCCATAACCTAAACGTTTTTTCAGGAGTTCCAATCAGTATACTGCTGATTATCACGTAGGATAATTCGGTATAGGCAATGATGTGGCTAGCACGTAAGACCATATAAATTAGGTAGTCACATAATCGTAAATCTGTAGAATTATGGTCTACTTCGTTATTAGTACTGCTCTAATAATAGACCTAATTCTAAAATCGTAGGATTGCCATGATATAACTGCCAAATCTATAAGATCTTACGTAGAAGTCATACTATCGTCTACACCAACTCGTCATATCGTAACAATCACCAATACATGATGTAGAACAATCTTAGGCTTGAGACAGAACCGTATATTTATTATAAATTGGGGATGTGCATTACGAGTGAATTATCTTCTGGTCCGTCCTCGAAGTACGGTCAATCGTTAAAACAGCAATATACGGCTGAAATAACAAGAAAACTGAATCCCGATTCTGGCGCCACGGTGCTTCCGTAAGTTGAAAGTAATCGAGTTGATTATTATGAGAAATTTTCACAACAAACCCTCCGTTTTTAAACTTTAAGAGCGAAATTTCCAAGGTACCTAACCAAAATGATATGAAAACGAGATATCTAAGGTCAACATTATAAACTAACAAGTCCAAAGTTTGAATAGATGAGTGTATCTCAAACCTGGTTAAAATAATAACATTCAAGATAACAGTTAATGGTCATTTGAGTAATTTGAGTTTCTCCTGCAGCATAGTGTATAGTAATACTATTTAGATCAGAATCAATGTCAAAGACTAATTTCAATAAATTGTCTGGTGGGTTTATTTACTTGGACACCCGAAACACTCTGTCTCACTTACTGCAGAATCAGAACATTTGCGAGTTGGTGGTATTAATCTTATCTCCTCACGGATGTCTTTGTCTGACATAATTACTCTTATCACTCCTAGAGAACCAGGATACTCCTAAAAATTCCCGTTAAAACACACCAACTTACACGAGGAGCCAAAAAGACATTATACAGAAATTAGCCAGTGGATTCAAATTCGGCACAGAATCATATTTCTCAAGCAAACTAAAACGTATGAAAACTAGCGTTATCATTATGATCACGACTCATCATACCAGCAATCATACGTCAACAATTCTATGCTCATGATGCTACTCAGCTGCAATGTCACAGGGATTAAACGATCACGTGCTTTCCGAAAGCTTCTGCATTCCTTTTGGAACTGAAATGGGTCATCTTTCAGATACACAACCGTCATGTATAAAACCAATTTCGAAATCTGAAATTTAAAACCATGTTTGAAATTTGGAGCAGCTATACAGGAATAAATTTAAAGGCCAGAGACTAAAATAAAAAAAGAACTTTCCAACCTTTTTGCGCAGAAGGACCGGAGGATATATATCTTTTCACTCTTTATTCTGGATTGAGAGTGTACGTCATGCCAGATTGTTTTACGATGGACTACGCTTTGGTCCTCGAGGTTTACATGATCTTCCAGACCAAAAGTGATGATAAGAAAGTATGTCACCATAAAATGAGGGAAAGAAGATAGAAGAGATTTCATCGATAGGTTCTTTACACACAGCTAAACATAACTTCATGAAACTATCCACACTGTGATAACAACTTCCTTTGAAACATCGAAGGCGAGGACTATTCTTTTTTCATCATGTACTACAAATATTATTGTGATCTATTCGGTATTTCATATTTACCAAGGGATATTTGTGGTCATTTCAGTAAAATTAGTTGATGTATTGAAAAGAGCGGGAAGTTGTAATACTGCGGTACGCATGCGTTTAAAATGAACAGTCTAAGAAATATTGCAAATGTCGGTATCATAGGTGGAGGTTTCATTGGTGCTGCTGCAGCTCTTACTTTAGGCTTGTCTCAGTCATTATATACAGGTACGTTGGACAAAATAAACACAGTTTAGTCAAATAGTGGATGGAGGCCATCGAGCAATCATGTTTAGTCGTATTGGTGGAGTGCAAGATGAAATATTTACCGAAGGCTTACACTTCAGGTATTTTGGTTGACTTAAATAAATTATTCTAGAATCCCGTGGTTTCAGTACCCTATTATATATGATATTAGATCTCGACCACGAAAAATAACGTCACCAACTGGCAGCAAAGGTTAGTGACCAAGGCCATTAATTTGTTATATATATATATATATCAGTTATAAACAAGTTCAACCGACAATTTTTATCCTTTGAGGTGGACATTTTCGCTCATATTAAACTGTCGACTGGCAGCACTTGTAATATACTCTAATATCATGAGGTCCCTCACTTTACGATGTTATGTGCAGCTGTTTAATGTCAATTAGCTTTGCTTCACCCCGTCAGCACGGTTTTAGGAAGAGCCACTTACGCATAATGGACCCGTTAAGTGCGGTTGATGAACCATCTCATGTGACCGTAAGGATCGAAGTGGCATAATACGCCACAATTTTTTAAAAGCTTTCGATAGATTTGAGTACATGTGCCTTATCAATAAACTTAAGGTACCAAGTACACAGTCTTCACTGTTAAACTCATTAATTTACTTTTCTAGGATCTGTGCAGGTTACTGGTTTTCTCAGACCTAGTCTCACAGAGCTCGATACCAGAAGCTTTCTTTCTAATTTACATAAATGACCCTCCTCAGCAAATAAAAGCCGGGTCGTTATTTACTTTCAATGATGTTAGGCTTCAGAAGTGTCTAACAACCTCAACGTTAGGCGGAAAGCCCGATTTTCGACTACTTTAAGTGTAAAGTCCATCTGAGACATTGCAAATTTCATAATTCCCTACCAATATTCCCGGGTTGATAATTACTTGAAGAAGCCCGGGTATTTTGTTCGTTAGGATCGTCAAACGAAAGTTTCAGCAACTTTTCACCACATCTTGATCCAGATAATAAGTTTAACAGTGGCCTCTTAGGTTAGCTTATTCATTTCCTATTTACTTTGACAGTTACTATAGGTGAACTTAATAAATTTATTCCCAGTTCCAGAACAAACCAAAATCAATTCTTGTTGTGTCTGCTTTTACTAACTCATCCTGTTCTAGTTTGCAAAGTATTCGTCTTGCTTCTACTATTTTGTTGCATTTCTATCCATTCATTCATTGTTCTTTTTTTAGATCTTCAAACGGTTAACCTCACATTGCGCGTATTGTCTCGACCTGAAGTGTCACAGCTTCCACACATCTATCGTACTCTGGGGACTGATTATGATGAACGGGTTTTACCATCCATAGTCAATGAGGTTCTAAAGGCAGTTGTTGCTAAATTTAATGCTAGTCAGTTAATTACTCAGCGTCAGCAAGTATCATTGCTGATTCGCAAACAGCTTGTCGAAAGAGCCAGTGATTTCCATATAATTGTTGATGATGTCTCCATCACTGATTTAACTTTTTCACAAGTTTACTCTGCTGCTGTTGAAGCAAAACAGGTTTGTTTATTTACTTGATTTTTGGTTATCCTCTTTTTCAACAAGGTAAATACAAGTTCAACTTTTGTAGTCATCATAAAAGAGGGGCTAGTAAATTTAACGCAATCTCGTAGACATTTCTATACAACAAGTGGTCTAATTGCTTATTTTGACACAAATATTGGCACAAAGGAGTACCAAAATATGTATGCTTCACAAGTGATTAAATTTCAGGCATATGCTTCACTGTCTAGTTACCTAAACACTTCTTATTACGTAACCTAGTGATTCTTAATGAATGTTATTTCAGTGTCTATTTTCCCAAGTCATTGACCTACTCATATTATGAAACATTGGTTCAAGCCTTCATTCTTTTCCCAACTAGTACACCTGACATCACACTACCTACTTGTACTTTTTACTCATGCAATCTATTCGATTGTTATCATTGACTGATAAACTGCTTCAATTGGTTTAATATTTCCGTATGTACATGTAAATATTACTGCATGTTAAAGTAAACCGTGATGAGGGTCTAATTGAAAGCAATATTTTCCGCTAATATATGTTCTTGTCCACAATATGGAGATTTTTATTATTCTAAGAAACTTTCAAAATCGATAACTTTATGTGGTGCTCTTCAGGGTTGTCCTATCCTCCAACTTTGTCATAGACATGCTGTTAGAGGTAACACATCGTTTGAATTTTCAGTACTTTATCTTGTACCAGGGAATTCACTTGTTGACTTGAAACATGCAGATGATATAATTCTGTTCAATAAAGACATCGACAAAATGGAGTCTTCTGACAATTAAAGCATATTTTGCATGCTTTTCTTTTCCTCAAAATGCAGTGTTACTTCAAGATTGGTCTGCATCAACGCCTGGACTTATGATAGGGGGTGAAGTAGTTAACCTTACCTATCACTCCACGTATTTCCGAGTCTCGCTAGGCGTAATTTGTCTCACGGAATGTTGGCTGGAATTCAGAAATCTCGACCAACGTTTGCAAAATTTCCTCACTATTGTCTTAGGCGTAATATCCGTCTGCCAATTGAAGAAGTTTTAGCGACCAGCAGTTCGTTCCATTCTACCTCATGGATATGGAACGTGGCCATTGATAATGGAGGATATTCGTAGGTCAGCAGAGCTCGATCATAGGCGTCTTCGGACCATTACTCGTATATTAAGGGACCATCAAGTTAGCAATCCCAAGGTTAGACTCAAAGTACTAAGAATGGCAAGTCGATTGATGAGGTAGTAAATATTCATCAACCTAGATGATTGAGAGATATGCTACGTGCCCCTAACTACCACCTACCTTGACGGGCGATGATGGGTAGTGTAGGAGTAAGTTGTAAGGGAGATAGAGTTGGCCACATCAAAACAGAACCAGTTTATCGAGGCACTTAGAGTCATTCAAGTAGGTCCAAACTACTTGGTTGGGATGCGCACAGTGATTATAATAGCTAGATACTTGAAATCTTTTGGGATGGCACAAGTTAATTCCTTCTTTGTCTTCTCATAGATCCAAAGTCCCTAAATTACTTTTCCTTATTTTCTCAACTCGCATCCTTGATATTTAGTCTTTTCTGTAATCACTCATATTGTTGCTACCTTTCCTACTCTGGGATTCGCCCTAACAATTTCATCTTGCTGTGCAAACGAGATATGGCAAATTGAACGACTACATCCGTGTGCATGGAGGGTCCAACAAGCAGAGTTGGAAAATCCTGATTCCAAACCAATGACTCCAGTATACTGGAGGAACAAATGGCATATCAACCAATCGTTGATCGCCGGTTACCATGGTACTGCATCTCCCGACGTTGCTCCACTGCCTTGTGGATCAGGCTTTTAGGTTGAGGGCTCCGGGTGTGACCCCCTAAGACCACCTGCTTCGGTCTGGGCACCCTGGCATTATCACCGCTCACACATAAATCAAGTGGCTTGTGTAGCGCATATGTTTTCGGTGCCCATTTGTACCAATATTTGTGTGTTCAAATAAAATAAAAATCCATGTGCCAGGTTCTATGTTGCACATGACTGACCTAAACAGATGACATTACAACAGGGGCCAAATTATCTCTGCAGCATGATCAACAGTTCACACTAAGCTTAGACACCAACCTATTCTTAGCACGTTATTTGTAATTCTGTGTTCTAACTAAAATATACTGTCTAGTACCTTTTTATTCCGATTTCAATGAATAGGCCATCCACTTTTTATTGTCCGGATCTATTTATTCATAAATATTTCATATCCTATTTTTTAAATATCCGTATATTGTTATAACTTCATTTGTCAGATTGCTTTACAAGAAGCACAGCGTGCGCAGTTCCTCGTAGAACGTGCGAAACAAGAACGTCAGCAGAAGATAGTTACTGCTGAAGGTGAAGCTCAGGCTGCAAAACTGATTGGTGATGCCCTTTCTCAAAATCCCGGATATCTTAAGCTTCGGAAAATAAAAGCGGCTACGCAAATTGCTCGAACGGTAAGACCTACTTTGAATTAGCTTCTCATGTCCCACTTATTCAGTCTTCTTAACCAGTAAGTTCCTAGAAAGTAGACTCATGAAATCAACATATCAAAGATAACTCAAATTCCGTATTTTGAGTTTTACGCAACCCATTATCATAATCTCTTCTCCAACGTTAAAAGTTACTAGCTTTTGAAATGTATGCAAAATTACTGTTTTTTAAACTGAATTAATTTAGAGACGTATTCACGAATCTTAAATGAGAACATCGAGGCAGTAGACACCTTTCGTGTTTTTTTAACTATCTTCTCAAAACACTGCTATTTTTGAGAACAACGTAAGGTGTTTTATTCCTTTATTATTATTGTTTAAAGTTTCGCAGCACTTTAACTACTCATGATTCTAATTATGACGGTGTGATCTACTGATTACCACATACACACAACTTAGGATCATTTTAAATATCTGGAAACTAATTTGTTATTTCAGTCAAACAAGTCCTGCTTAGGTTTGTTCAACATATTTTCCGGATCATAACTTATGTATATATAGCCATGATAATAAACTTGTTAATTGTCTGTCCTTTTTCATTTAAAGCTGTATAATGTAGTTAATAGTAATTAATTTTCATATTTCTGGTCAAATGTGTTCAAACTAAAGGTTTGCAATTGTGACAGTAGAGTTAAATTTTCCTTTTTCTAGGTTGCTCAGTCTCAAAACCGTGCATTTCTACATTCTGGCTCTTTGATCCTCAATGTTGCGGATCCTAAATTCGACGCTGGTCTGGATGTCTTGAAGAAAAAATAAATTGAAGTGTTGGATAGTATTAACATCTTTAAAAAAATCTTAGACTAGCATTTCCGAATGTATTTTGTACTGTGTTACGTTCCTTAATTTAATTGAACACTATTTCTGTGAATACGATTGATGTACAAGCAAATAAAATAAAAATCTTATCTTGAAGTTTTTCCTTTGTTGATTTATCGTTGTTGATAATTAAATTTTGAGTTTCAATCACTGCGTTAGGAATTGAGAACCCACTTCATCTATTATGGGTTTATGAAACTAGGTAGTCTCATAAACTCTCTCACAGTAGTTGTGACTAAAATTTGCTACAACAGCTTTTTAATTTAATTACATACCAAATAAAGTACTTCAACAAAAGCTCTTGACCACTTTATGTGTTTGTGCACGGAAAAGTATGTAGGCAATTAATGATGGTAAGTAATTTCCAATTAGATTCAAAAAGTCAAAAACCCAGTATTTTAAATTGATACTGTACTAAGTTTGCTACATAACCTAGTCTTCTAATCATTAATCAATGAGTTTATCCAAATTAATTTAGCTAGTTGTTTGTGCATGCGTTGCATATCGAACTGGTTTACAATATATCGTTTATGGTGTGGTTTAAACCATTACTATTCTGATTGTAAACGTATCACCTGGTACATGAAAATCCATCAAATTTAGAAAAACTATCAATACCCAACCAAACAAGAACAGAACTATGTTTTGATCTTGAAAACGTATCAATGTGTGCGACATAATGCATGTTAGTGTCAAATTCTTGCATTTGTGCTGATCGCAGATTATACAAGACCAAATAAATATGATTGTAATGAACTTATCAAAATCGAAGCAAATCAGGGGATTCATGAAATATTGATTTGTGTAAAGTCAGTGGGACTTTTTTCCCCGGATGGTTCGTTTGCGTATTATAATATGGTATCAATACTTCAATGTCCGGGTTTATGCTAACGCTGAAAAGTAGGGTTTAGTTTCGTAACATTTTCATATTTGTAATTGCTATCATTCTTGGATCGATGCTCTTGAAAAACGATTAAGATCAGGATTTTAAGGAGTGATCCACTACTAGGTTGATCATGTTATATTGTAGAAAGCGTCTTATCTAAGTGACTCAGATCACGTGGAATATTTATGTATTTCTCATTAAATACAAGTCAGTTTTGGGCGTTGTAATGATTCGGTAAAATGTTGATTTCGCTGCTGGTATGACCGTTTGTTATGATTACGGAATAAATTACTATTTGCTACTTGATCAGTGTAACAAGATTGAAATGACTCAATGCTAAGCAGAATGTAAGGCTATAGATGAAAATTCGTTTATGCACTAAACACTGATCACAACGACACCAAAATACACAAAAGGAAATATATCATTTTAAATGCCCTGTCAATAGACAAATTTGAATGTGTCGAACTGCGATTAGTTAAAACTAATTAGTTAATAACTTGGTGTAAGCATACAGTTCACGGAATCACCAGGTTTGCTGGTTTAACTAATAAATGTAACTAAACTAAGTATTTTGCTACTTTTTAGTAGATGCTATACTAAATGGCTTCAATGATGCGTAAATAGGTTAAAAGCATTCAGCGGATGTAGTTCCTCACTTTCGTAGGACAGATCAGACTTGGAGAAAAAGGTAGTAGAATATGAAAACTATCATCAAGTGTTGTATGTATCAACATTGTTCATTGGTTGCTGTGTTTTAATTAGAATGATGTTATGCTGTAACTACTGTTTGGTTTGAATTATTTACGGGGACAATGAGACTCAAATAAACATCTTAATGAACAAGTACCTTTGTATATGCGATATTATTATGCTTTTCTGAACTTATTTTCCACCCGCATTATTCAGTTTGTAAGTTTCAGACCTACATATGAAGTCTGTAATTATGGTTAAGACATGGGCAAAAGCTCATTAATTTTATTGATCTAAAGTGACTGGAACTGGTCTAGTTGATGTTCAGTTGCCCGGACCTTAGAAGGGTATCCAAGAAACATCAGTTAGCCTAACCATATTTAGTTGGATTCTCAGTCATACCGTTTTGAAAAGGCATAATGATTCGGTTCGGGTGTATGTTGTGAGTTTCTTCATTGAAGCACTGATACAATCAAAACTATTATTATTTTCTTTTATAAATGACGACATTTTCCACAATCACCATTGATTGTGTTGACATTGTTTAGGGGATATCAAGATCTAAATGTTTGCGCAAGTTATGATTAAATATAGTGAAATGATGGGTGAACATACATATATTCCTTATATAGAACTTCTAATTGAGCAGTCAGTCAAGAATTTACAGAACAGAGAGGTATTTTAGCTAACACTGTAGCTGTAATGAAATCCAATCCAGGGAAAAGTATTTAGCTACCATGTAGAATGTGTGGAGCAGAAAGTATCTTCGCTCCTCCATAAACATACAAAACTTGAAAACAAGTTACTTGCGAATTCTGTATGAGTGTCTCATTTCATTTAACAATTCGGAATGTATATATTTGTTGGTAGTAAAAGTTTATAACATCCCATCCCTAGAAGACATAATTTATTGCATAACTGGTTAATACATTTAAGAATAAGTCAGGAGCATCTGTTCAATGAACAACATAAACTCTTTAAAATGTTGCTTTTATTAGTTCATATTATTTTGCTGAAATATTTTTACTTCATGTCTATCTGAGCATATATATATATAGTAATTTACCAAATTACCATTGGTAACAATAGCGAGATATTAGCAATTTCAATTCGTAGCTGGTAGATGTTATTTAAATGGTAAGATACATTTACTAACTGATTTTGTCAGTGTACTCAATCAAAAATGTAGATTAGAGAAAATTCCAGTAATTTAATCAAGATATATTGTGTTAACTCATGGAGTTAGTTTCTGGAATGTGGACTTTCGAAGTAGGTTCTGTAAGATTTAGTGTTTGAAAAGATTTAAAAGTGAGTCAATATTTAAGAATATCAACATAATTTCATCAAACCATCATATTGTTTTTTTTAGTGACCCAATATCTGACTCTAATTAGGTCGATATTGGATGATTGTTATTGAAATATTCATACAGCGCACCCTTGTATATACTCATCAACTTGCGTATAGTAACTAATGAAATTAAATAAGTCAAATACAAGAATAAATTTTGAGTACACATATTTCATGCAATCGTTGGTCTGAACAGATAATCAGGGAAAGGAAGAGGAGAGGAAACAGAGAAACTAATCGGAGATGGTATGTGAATCAACTAGATTTAACCAAGCATAAATCGATATTTATAGTCAAACAAAGATAAGATACAGACATATGATGAATAGGGTAGGCAATATATACACACACGATCACATAAAAAGCAATACTTCAACGTGAACATAGACGTTAGACACAGCTCGACAAACATCTGGAAACGTGTAAATTTATTTTTGTTCAAGTCGATGCCGTTTGAAAACCGTTAAAGCAACCATGTGAAGGACCATACCGAGTTGTTAAACGGGCAACCAATCACCTCATTATTAACAAAAGTGGAAAGAAGGAAACTGTCTCGACAGATAGAGTAAAACCTGCTTTTTACGATGACCAGAAATAAAAATAAGATACTATTTTAGATAACTCCGCCTGTAGCTCTTCTAGAGTTACTGCCGGTCCCAAGCCCGGGTAAAGGAGGAGGGTTGGGCATGGGGTTAGCGTCCCCATCCCGTAGGAAACTAACTCGCTAAAAAAACGCTTACCAGAAAAAATAATTCAATCTATTTTAGATATACAACCTACACCGTTAATTACAACGAAATCGGAGAACGACGAGAAACTAAGTAATAACCACACATGCTCAATGCGTTCAGGTAGAGCAGTGAGAAAGCCTAAATGCTATGTTCATTTTGTGAATTAAAAAATTTGTAATAAATGGCATATTATACAATACTCAATCCATTTGTTTTACTAATAAAAACCACACAATGTATGTACAATTAGTCACACTTGTACTCGTCTGGCAACATTTTTAATTTTTGTCCTAATTATAAGCAGGTAAATTTTCAATTTGTTTTCACTAATTAATCCAAAAATATTTTCTTGTAAATATACCAATAGTTCAATGTATTATTATCATTGTCAACCTAAGACATCATTATCAATTATATTTCCGCTTCTATAGTGCTTAACTAAATACACATAACTCTGTACTCCAATATATTTCACAGGCCTAACACGCATGTCATATTCTGTAACATACATACATCTATTAGCGCAATTTTTCCCCACAAAAAGCATTACATATTTATTTTGCATTTACTTTGTTTTTGTGTGCATGTATTCTTTTACCTCCTCATTTGTTGTACATACCAGTGTTACCTCCAGACACTGGTGGGAGTAATGTGGGGATAGCTAATATAGTTATTTTGCAATTAGTTTTTGTTATTATTCTCATGATTTGTACGATTACCATTATTGACCTTTGACCTTCCTTTCCGGTTTCTCAACCTCTCTTGTATGATACATTGATTATTGCCCATGAAGTACACTACTGCACACATATACTTCTCGTTCACAAAAATCCGCTGTTACGACAAACTTCATTTATTTCATCACTGTTATCGAGATTATTTTGATTTCTTCGTTCTTTACCGAAATGTAATGTTTTGGAACAGTGATATCTAAACTTACATGATTACCTATTTAAGAAATTTTCAATAAAATTAACTTGAATGTATAACAATAAAAAACTAGTCTTGATAACAAATGACAAATAGACTTTCTTCTAATCACTGAAAAGTCTCCATTATATTAAAACAGATATATGAAGGACGAATATTCTTTGCAATAAATTCTCTTCAGGTTCTAAAATTACACATTCCAAATAATAATGCAAAGAGTGGTCAGGTTTAAAGTAAATACGTCGTTTGAAATTATAACAGATGAATTCGGGATGATTTTGATTATTACCCTGAAGAAGTCCAGACAAGTTAGCTGGACGAAACGTTGGAATTATTTAAATTTCAATAGCTGAGGTTATTTCAACTATAATTTTCACATATAATGAATTCGGGATTGCTTGCAAAATAACATAAAATTGTTAATGTTGCGATGACTAGTATGTACTGTAAACTTGAATAAGTTTATACATAACATGAAGTCGTGATTTTTGTTTGATTAGTTAA